TTCTTGTTGAATAACAAATTGCCCCAAAGCTTAGTAGCTTAACATTACAACCATTTATGAGGGCTTTTGAATCAGTTGGTCAGCTGGTGTTCAGTGATGTGGTCAGGCTTGGCTGAGTTCAGCTGGGCTCACTCCTTTTGCAGTCAGTTGTGTGTCAGTCGAGAGCTGGCAGGTTTAGGGATCACCCTGGTCTTGGGTCAGCCATTGACTGTTGGTGAGGCTGCAGACACTAAGCCAACAAGGTTGCTTGGGTTCCCATCTGTCATCGGCTAGCAGGCTAACCTGAGGCTGTTCTCAAGAACTTTCTAAAAGAATAAGCCTGTGGTGCCTTTTGAGGCCTAGTCCTGGAACTCGCACCTTCACTGCATTACAGTCCCTTAACCAGCATGAATTCAAGGGGAGGAGAAATCCATTGTACCTTATAACGGGAGGAGGTCCCAGGCTACCTGGCCAAGGGTAGAGCTTTAGGGAGGAGTGAATAATTGTGTTCACTTTTGCAATCTACCACACTCAGCTTTCGGTGAATTTCTCTGGAACATTTATATTAGGATATTAAAATTTAATAGTTTATACCTCTCCAGGAATATCTGCTTTAGGAAAAAATATTATGATAGGAAAATATATATGTTTATATATATATATGTGTGTGTGTATATATATTAGAGATGGATTTTCACTCTGTCGCCCTGGCTAGGGTGCCACAGCTATGTGCCATCATAGCTCACAGTCAACCTCAGACCCCTGGGCTCAAGTAAGGCTCCTGCCTCAGCCTCCCAAGTAGCTGCGACTACAGGCACCCACCACGATGCCCTACTAGTTTTTTGAGACAGGGTCTCACTCTTGCTTAGGCTGGTCTCGAACTTGTGAGCTCAAGCAATCCCCCCACCTCAGCCTCCCAGAGTGCTAGAATTACAGATGTGAGCCACCACACCAGGCTCCTGAAATATTTTAATTTAAAGAAATGACAGAATGATGCTGTTTTGTTTTTTTTTTTGAGACAGAGCCTCAAGCTGTCCCCCTGGGTAGAGTGCTGTGGCTTCACAGCTCACAGCTACCTCCAACTCCTGGGCTCAAGTGAGTCTCCTGTCTCAGCCTCCCAAGTAGCTGGGACCACAGGCGCCCGCCACAACGCCCGGCTATTTTTTTTGGTTGTAGCCGTCATTGTTGTTTGGCGAGCCCAGGCTGGATTCGAACCCGCCACCTTAGGTGTATGTGGCTGGCGCCTTAGCCACTTCAGCCACAGGCTCCAAGCCAATGATGCTGATTTTTAACTCTTCGCTTTTCCTTACTTCTTTTAGTCAAAGCACACTCTCACTTCCTCTGCCATTATTTTTTATTCATTGCTGTGGAATATAACCATTATATAACCGCTATATAACATTTTACCATTTTAACCTTCTTTAAGGGTACAGTTCTGCAGCACAAAATTCATTCTTACTGTGCAACCCTCACCATATTCCGTTCATCTCCAGAACTTTTTCATCTATCCCAGCTTTATACCCATTAAATACTAACTCTCCATTTTCCCCACTCTCCACAATGGCAACCGCCTTTCTACTCTTTACCTCCGTGAACTTGACTACCTTAGGAACCTCATGTAAGAGACATTATGCAATATTTGTCCTTCTGTGACTGGCTTACTTAGCGTAATGTCCTTAAGGTTTATGCGTTTTATAGAATATATCAAAATTTCCTTCCTTTTAAGGCTGAACAATATCCCATCATATGTATGCATATACCACATTTGTTTATCCATTCATCCGTTGATGAACTTGATGTGCTTGCTTTCAGTTCTTTTAGATGTGTACATATACCAAGAGGTAGAATTGCTGGGCCATATAGTGATTCTGTGTTTAATTTTTTGAGGACCCTCCATGCTATTTTCCACTGACTGTACCATTTTACATTCCCACTGGCAATGTACAAAGTGTTTCCATTTATCTATGTTCTCACCAATACTTGTTATTATCTGGTTTGGGGATTTTGTTGTTGTTATTAAAAGTACAGCCATTCTAACGAATGTGAAGTGTAACTCATTGTGGGTTTATTTGGGGGGGGGGGTTGCAGTTTTTGGCCAGGGCCATGTTCAAACGCCCCCCCGCCCCCCCCATATATGGGGCCGGTGCCCTACTCCTTGAGTCACAGGCACCACCCTCTCATTGTGGCTTTGATTTGCATTCTCCTAACGAGTAGTGATGTTGAGCATCTGTGCATGTGTTTACTGGCCATTCATGTCTTCTTTGGAGAAACATCTATTCAAGTCTTTTGCCCAGTTTTTTTAAAATTTCAGATTAATATGAGGGCACAAATGATTAGGTTGCAGTGTTTGCATTTGTTAGGTAAGGTCCCTGTTGTAGTTGTGTCCCACCCCTGGGAGGTGTGCCATATACCCTTACGTTGTACACATTAGGTGGGGGCACACTGATCCCCTCTTTGCTCCTTTCTCTCTTCTCCTTCCTCTCTCCTTCCCCCAACTTGAATTAAATTGAATTTTTCTCTTGTGTGAGTGTGTATTTTCTGCCCAGTTTTTAATCAAGTTGTTTATTTTTCGTGTTGACGTGTAGGCATTCTTTAAGTATTCTAGATATCACTGCCTCATCAGATATATGATCTGCAAATACTTTTTTCCCATTCTGTGGGTTGCCTTTTTCACTCTTTTGATAATGTCCTCTGATGCACAAAAGTTTTTAATCTCAGCAAAGTACAACTTACCTGTTTTTTCTTTTGTTACCTGTGCTTTGGTGTCATATCCAACAAATCATTGCCAAATCCTGCCACCAATTTTTAAACATCCAGCTAGATTTTTTTAAAATAATCCATGCCATTTAAACTGCTCAATGAATGACTTAAAGAATTTTAAAGTTAAGTTATTTTGGCCGAGTGCAATAGTTCACACCTGTAATCCTAACACTATAGGAGGCCGAGGCAGGCAGATTCTTTGAACTCAGTAGTTGGAGAATAGCCTGGGCAAGAGCGAGACCCCATCTCTACTAAAAATAGAAAAAATAGCCAGGCACTGTAGCAGGCACCTGTATTACCAGCAATTTTGGGAAGCTGAGGCATATAAGGATTGCTTAGGCCCAGGAATTTGAGGTTACTGTGAGCTATGATGCTATAGTACTCAACCCCGGCGTGACAGAGACTCTGTGTCAGAGAATACAAAGTAAAATAAAATAAAAATAAAGTAAGTTATTTCTGTTCAACAATTTACTTTTATAATTATGAGAAATTTTCATAAATATCCACTCAATGCCACATTTCTTCTGAATTTTTATTTTCTTTATTACTGCCAAGTGCATCAGATTATAAATAGAAAGCATGGAAATAGCATATTGTATTGTGATACAATTGTTTCCTCATGAGGAATACTGTGCCAAATTATTGCCAAGTGTCTTTATTAGGAAAAGAAAATTCTCAACTGATTAAAGACCATGGATATTATATATCAACTGTAAAAGAAGTTTTCAACTTTTAAAAAATACTGAATTTCACTTTAGCACTTACAATAAAGCTCTAAAAACTTCAAAGATATTTTGCATTCTGAAAAAGGTCCTTTGTGGTTACAATATTCATTTGAAATTCAAATAGCTCTTTGGAATTTGAAGCTAGCTAAAAGTTACGTACTACAGAAGAAGAGGGGGAAGTTCTTTCTATCATTGCTAATTTATACTAATAGAAAAGATTATACCTTTGGGCCCAGATGGGAGCCATAAATGCATCTTTTGAAATCATCAAATAACACACGAGCTATCTATAGTAAACATCTTGGACAACATGTAAGAACTTATTTTTTAACCTCTGTAGTTCTTGTTTTAGACCATTATAAACTTTTTCAAGCAAGTATTTATTAAATTCCTAATTTTATACAGTCGATTATGTAGAAGGCCCAACAAAAAGAAGCATAAAAACCTGGTTCTCTTTACTCAAAACATTTGCCTTCTGTTTGTAGAGCCTAATGACATACATGACAATATAAAAGAAGAAATCAAGGAGGATTACCATGTGGAGTCTGAGAAAGTAAAGATGGGCTGAAGTGGTGTGAGGCCTCCAGGAGGGGGGCTTCTGCAGGCCGAGAGGCTCAGGGATGATTGGAATAGGCTGGAAAAAACCGAGTGGCATGAGCCAGTGTCACGTCTCCTGGGAAGGTGATGTGTGCTGGTTACCTGAGGTGAAGGGAGCACATTACATGTGTTATCAGTCGTTAGAAGGTCAGGTTGAGGACAAATGGTGGAGAGCTGGTCTAGTAGTCTCGTGTTTGATAAATTAATAGTTGATCATAGGGAGACAATGTGGGTTCTTGACTAGGGGAACAGTGAGAAAATTTCATTTACCTCCAGGGTAGAGCATAGAACTCCAGAGGTGAAGCAATTTCTGAACACATCTTATCCAACCTTACTGGGGCCAGGGAGGGAAGTGACTCGCTCAAGATCACCCAATTAGAAAACAGCAGATCTCTGTCTCAGATTCATCCTTTACTTCCAGTGATCTTTCTCTCACACCACAGCCCTCTAGAATATGCTAAGAGAAAAGAAAACAAACAGAAACGATGAATCAGAAGCAGCATCTTTGTGGGGGAAAGTCAGAACCCGATAACTATTTTCGTTATTTTAGTGAATGAGGCAGACAAATATTTAGAGAAGTCAGGAAAGGACTGAGTGATTTCTAAAGAATAACATTTGATAAAAGGAAAAAACTAAAGTAAACCATATCGATACCTCAAACCCACCCTTGCCAGTGAATGCTAGTAAAGCTGAATGAATGAACAAATAAATGAATGAATACATCACCCTTAATTTGCCTCTTTTTTTTTTCTCAGTACAAGTACTATTTAAAATAGCATTTAAACATGAAGGCTATGTTAACCAGTTTGATGAAAATATTTCAAATTGTATATGAAAACACCACACTGTACCCCATGATTGCATTAATGTACATAGCTATCATTTAATATAAAAAACATATATATATATAGCATTTAAAGAAAACATTTTCTTTTACAGGTTCACCTTTTGGGAGTTTTGCTGGCCATTTTAGGAAATTTGGTAATCAGCATTTCCCTAAATATTCAGGTAAGAAGAAGCTTCCCTTTCTAACTCTGTAGTTTGATCCGCGGATACACAGTGACTTCTGGGAACTTGGGCACCTTTGCCTTTGTGGCTCATTCCTGTACAAAAATTATTTTAAAATTATATTATATAACCTCATTTGTACAAAAACAGATACAATCCAGGCTGGATTGCATTCATTTTTAACTTTTTCTTCTGATGTTGAAAGAAATTAAATGTTTTTTTTTTTTTTTTTTGAGCCCCTAGGCAAGGTGCCTACTGTGTCTGATGGCTACATTGCCTGGGTTTACAGCACTTTGATTTTTTTTCACAGCCTTCACCCCCAGATGGGACACAAGTATTTTTTTAAGAAGCAGTTCAAAAGAGCAGGGTTCTCTCCTTTCTTTCAAAGACTGTTAAAGCTGTCAGTGCAGACTAAATGTCTTAAAGAAAGAATAAAGACTGTAAAGCAGGAACTTTAACTGAAGTGTGAGCTAGAAACCTGAATGAATTGCTGATTCGCTAAACTAAAAACTGAATGATATATTACTTTTAAACCAGATCAAGAATTAAATCAAAAATTTTAGATCAATGAATCAGTTCTAAACAGAATCACCAACTTAATCTCTAAAACTATTGAATCAAAATAAACCTGAACATCATGGTACCTCCCAGAGTATGTGGTAGTCCCCTCTTATCTTTGGGGGGTGTCCCAAGACCCCCAGTGGTTGCCTGAGACCATGACAGTACCAAATCCTCTACAGTGTATGCTATGTGTTTTCTAATGCCTATGTACCTGTGATACACTTTAATTTACCAATTAGGCACAGGAAGAGATTCAAACCCAAACCTCACCAATTAGTGGGACCACACCTACCGTGCATCTTACAAGGGCACATGTGAAATTTACTAGGTGTAGAATATAAATCTCTTCACACAATAAGAAAATGCCATGAAGGCTGTGTTGACCAGTTTGATGAAAGCATTTCAGAATGTGTATCAAACCAGCACATTGTACCCCCATGATTACATTAATGTACACAGCTATGATTTAATTAAAAAAAAAAGATAAAACTGAAAAAAAACTCATAATAAAATAGAACAGTTAAGTAAAATAAGGGTTTTATGAACACAAGCACCAATCTGATCACCAAGATGGTTACCAAGTGACTAAGGGGCTGGTGGCTACAGTGTGGGTACGCTGAACAAAAGGGGGTTACACCCTGGGCAGGACAGAGCAGGGTGGCATGAGATTTCATCACACTGTTCAGAATGGTGTGCAACTTAAAATTTATGAATTGTTTATTTCTGGAATTTCCCATTTAATATTTTCCGCCTTTGACTAACTGAAACTGCAGAAAGTGAAGCTGTAGATAAGGGGTAACTATAGTATTATTTCATACAAATCCTTACTAGAAAATTACTTAGTGCAATTTTCAGTAATCACTAGGAAATAATGTTGCAGTTCTTTTAAAATTTGTCTGGCACATTTTCCATTCCTTACCAGAAGACCCTCACAAAAAAAATAAAATAAATTTTCAAAAATAAATGTATTTATTACCTGAAAGGAAGACAAAAATAAACCATTGTATTTTTAAAAAGAAATTCAGAGAATACAGAAGGAAAAAGGGAAATTCCCCATATTTCTCAGAATTAATTAGGCATTTTCCTGTAATTTGATTTCTGCGTATAAACAGCATACAGATATTTGGGGGATGTTCCAAAAAGTATAAAACCATCCCTTTTTTTTTTTT